TAACATAGTGTAGGATGCCCTCCATATCTGCAAGGTGGCTGGCAGTGGTTGGAAAAGAAGAGCTGAAGACCGAGTTCAGTGGGCGAACGCAGGCTGATGACGATGATGGTACAAATTCAATTTAAGAGTCTCATTGTTACCAGTAGTCATAATTGTTCTATTGCATTATAATTATCATATAAAGAACATATCAAGCACAAGGAACAATTTCAATACCGCAATAAAACTGAAAAATAAATATATCGGTAACACCAATAACAATAATTCTCAGAAAATTAAACACAAGATCTCACAATTAGCAGCCATACTTACCAAACAATAAGCCACAACACACATGACAAACTATCACTCACTATTCATCAGGAACCTTGACAATTAACTATTAAAATACTAACCAGTTGTTTTAAAATAATCACAATATTGTTAACTGATAATTAGCTGTTAACAAACATCGCCCACGAGACAGCGTGTCCAATGTGACAGACTGACGGACAGACGTATGTCAGTTATCAGAATACAACCTTGAACTATAGTGGGTCATTAATATAAGGGTTTCTTAATAGATTTTGTGAAAGGATTGTCGTGGTAAGTATTTAGGTGCGAATCCTAATATATCACAAAGCTTGAAGGTGTATGTGATGTAAAGAAGTAGATAATACACCTATTCGATTTATTTTGGTGGAAGAGAAAACAATGAAGTGGACGCAAGTGTGACTGCCAAATAAGTTCTCTTTCTCTTTTTAAAAAACGTTGCCCATATTAGGATTTTCTCCTTTGTTGTGGGTGCGTTTACAAACATACAAGTTCACATACACAATGACACCCAGACCCGAAACAACAACAACACACAACAGTTTGTGTGTTGTTGTTGTTGTTCGGTGCGGGAATCGAATCCGCGACAGGTTGCACGGCAGCCGGTTGCTCAGCCATCGCACCAACCGTGCAGTCACGTGCAGTGCAGTTCTGGGTCCGAATCCCAAAGTAGTTTATGACAACTCACCCGGCTGTCCCTAACATTTTTAATGGTGTATGGAATTCATATCTATCTCTTGAACTCTTAAAGAAGTCATTCGCAATAATTTAGCATATTTAAAATTTTATAGTAATTAAAAAAAAACAGACACAAACTAAAACATCAATTCAAATAATTAGCAAGAAAAAGAAACCATCGACATCAGAACTGATCCACATGAAGACTCCCAAGTTACGTACATAGTTCACAACCACACAGACAAACGGAGACAGCTACTCTTTATAGCGAAATACAAACAATGGTTTACTTTATGGTGGTCGGACTGCACACCATACAATCTATGGCTCGTTACGTGAAGTTTGCACGACCCGGGAACTGAAGCCGAGACCTCATAAATCAGGTGCAGTTAGTGAAGTGGCGTGATAACTGTTTGGTTACAGTTATCTAACTGCATGAAGTGCATGAATGTTTGATGAGCTGAACTTTCATTTGGTTTCATCAACGGATTGTTAAAGTCCTCTACAAAATCTTACTATTGTACAGTTCATAAAAGATCTATGGCCTATGGGCATCCTCTACATAAGAGGAGCTTACTATTCTGACGTTTAATAGACGAGGGTTGGAGTCTGTAGTTCAAAAGTTAGATTCGGAAGAAAACGCTGACGCAGTCAGTATTAATAATGTACATCTCCTTATTCGGTTCCATTATTACGATGATACTTAGGACCCATTAACTGAGGAATAATTTTGAATCATAATAAAAACTGTCGAATGTTCATTTTATTCTTCAGTTAAGATGATTGATGAAACTGATGATTGAAAAATCGGCCCTGAAAACGTAAATTGTACATATTATTATCATTAAGTTCTGTATATGTCTACCTTTTTTTGAGAGGGGTAAATTATCCATAGACTCCTCCCGCTTTGGAGTGAGATGAGGGAGAGTGTCTTACTTCTTCTGCTTTGAGCCGAAACAAATTCTGCCTCATCTTATCTATAATTCACTAAGAAATCACTACATAGTATAAAACAAAGTCACTTTCTCTGTCCCTATGTCCCTTTGTATGCTTAAATCTTTGAAACTACGCAACGGATTTTGATGCGTTTCTTTTTAATAGATAGAGTGATTCAAGAGGAAGGTTTATATGTATAATACATGCATATTGCACCCGTGCGAAGTCGGGGCGGGTCGCTAGTTAATGATATACTATAGAATAGTATACTATTCTATACACCCACAGATGGTTTTATAATAATGGACCACAACAATCACCCATTACACTCTTCATTTCAAACTCCCATATAATACATCGACACTAGAAAGGCTCACGATTGAACCACACCAGCTAAGTGACAAGTTTCCGTCAGCCATTGACTGAGTCGACGATTGACACTCATTGTTAGTCAATGCTGACTTAAATCGATTGATTTGTAATATACTAGATTTGACCCGTGGTGTTACTTGTAGGTCAAAGGAGAAATATAGGTGATGTATCAACATAATAATTATAACCCTTAACCGACGTGCATGCATGAAAAGATGTTGATGAAGCGGAAAAGGTTGGTAGGAATCGTAGCAATTGGCGTTCCATAGTCTCTGCCTTCCCCCATGGGAGACAGGCGTGAGGTTTTGTATCTTAGTATAACACTTGAGCCAACCCGAGAACCAAAATTCCCAAGCTCGACCATCGAGACGTATGTATGAATGTAATTAAAATGAACTATTATGTTGAAGTATATTTATATGACGTCGCGGAGAACCTAACGGGTAACCGGGGCTCCGGATCGACGTGCAGGAGAAGAAACGGGGTGGTTTTTAGTCAGTAAGAGTCTGACACTCCCTCCCGCCTCACCCAGGTGGAAGCAGTCATTCGATGATTTTCCCCCCTTACAAAAAAAATATTTATATGACACTAGAGGTATAGAGGTAGCTGCGTCTGCGCGGATCCACCCGCTTTGCTCCAATCCTATTAATTGCAGCGTGATGTTTTATAGCTTATAGCCTTCCTCGATAAATACACTATCAAACACAAAAATATTATTTTAAATCGAGTCAGTAGTTCCTGTAAATAGCTCGTTCAAACAAACAAACTCTTCTGTTATATATATATATGTTTTTTATGTATTTATTTATATAACTAGCTTCTGCCCGCGACTTCGTACGCGCAATCCCGTTTTCTCCCGTTCCCGTAGGATTTTCAGGACTTTTCTGTCATAAGAATCTTCTCCTGACAATAATAAACACAACAAAAAAAATCTGCCAAATCGGTCTAGCCGTTCTCAAGTTATGGCGTGACAACGGGAAACGGGTTTCATTTTTATATATATAGATAGTATATAATAAGGTTCATAAGGAAATTATACATAACTTATAGGAGCATACATCAAAAAATATGTTTATGTATCTATAAAGTAACTCTTAACAACATGTATTAGTTCAATAAGGATAAACCAACAAACTCACACATTTATATATAAAAGTAGTATCAAGAGATTTACGAATATGATACAGGTTCTATCGAGTAGTCACATATTAGAGGTAGATGCATAAGGTTTTCTTTAAAGGAGCTTTCTCTGACTACGTGACAAAATTATATACAATTTGAACTACACCTGCTCCACCCGTACACCTTTAGAAGCATAACGTTTCTATGTACTTTATATCATTGGAAAAATACAATATTTTATTCAAATATACTGGCTCCGTTGGCTTAATGGCTAAGTAATGAACTGCTGCATAACGTACCATGAGTTCGAATATAATTCGATTATAATAAGTCCTTTGTATGGTCCACAAATTATTGTTATGGGTTTTTTTTTTAAGGGGGGAAAATCATCGAATGACTGCTCCCGCCTGGATGAGGCGGGAGGGAGTGTCAGACTCTTACTGACTATAAACCACCCCGTTCCTTCTCCTGCACGTCGAGTCGGAGCCCCGGTTACCCGTTAAGTACACCGCGATTGTTATGGGTTTGAGTGTGATTGTGATGTGTATTTATGAAAATGGTATAGAAGACATTCTTAATGCTTTAAAACATGTTAAGTAGGAACACACATTTATATTATAACTTTCGTTAAACATAATTGTTATGTTTTTCAACTTACTTACGTAATTATTTGACGAGAAACTCGACTAGTTTCAAGCCATGCTAGAGGCTTATATTCATGAGCAGCATTCCACGACCAGCGACTCGGCGACTATAGCGCTGCTGTTGAAACTAGTCGAGTTCCTCGTCAAATAATTACGTGAGTAAGATAAAAAACATAATAAACTCATAGAGACACACATAATTTTTATTTTTATTCTTCCACATTCATAAATACTTCGCGTCTATCTATAGGTTCTACTCTATTATACCCACCCGTAATTACCCATTAATCTTAAATCCTCTAACAACATTGACCATTGTTCAGCGAATCAGGATTTGAACTTACAACCTCAAGATCGCCAGCCGACCTCTTAACCTGATGGACTATTGTTATTTTCAGCCATTTGTTGTGAACTTAGGGTACAATATGTTATCGATTCAAAGCTCTGCTGGTGGTCTTTATCTTTCTAGGTTTCAAAATACTTTTCAGCTTTGAAATTCATACAATTTTGAGTTTTTAGGTGAATTTTCAAAAAGCTATTATTTGTGGCAACATGTTTTCTTGGTGTATACCAAAAAGTCCGTAAATCATTTTCAGTAGATACCTACTGAAAATGATTTACGGACTTTGATGACCCCTAAAATATAAGTTACCTATTGTTTTTTTTTTGCCTTATAGTATTTTGAATCACTACAAATTATATAAGAAAAGCTCTAACTTTTACTTATCATTACAAAAAGCTACTAAAGCTATAATAGTTTACAAGCGAATCCGCGGCGCATTACTAGAGAAGAACCTAAAATTTTGCAACACCAGCAGCGTACTGCGTTAGTACATCTGTGTATAAAGTTTGAGTAATAAGGAGAACAATCGCGGATGCTCTGGCCGCCCCTCCGAGCCAGCTGCGCAGGCGCAAACCGCGCAGTCTTCGTCGACGGCCGACCGTCGCGAGCGCATCTTTACGCGTCGCTAAAGCTACCACATATATTCGGTATTTTTTAATTTTTATTTAATTTAATTTTTAGGTTTTATATTTTGTTCGCGTTTCTCCGAACTGCTTTTAATTTGTTTTGTTCTTTTTTGTTTTTGGAAGATTCATTTTTATTTTTTATTTTGATTTTTTATTGTTTGTGAAATTTAAGGGTTGTTTTGGGGATCAAAGTGTTAAAAAAGTTCAACAATTTTTTTCAAAATTATAAGTTCTAAATAACATTCGAATTCGTGTTCAAATCGCATAGTCGAGAGCGAAAGTTAAAACTTTTCAAAACAATAAAATTATACTAATTGCCAGTTAGATGACGGGTTACAGTATTTATATCAATAACTGCTGGCAGTTACTTTGACGTAACTTTCTTCTAAAATCCGCAACAAATTCGAGCCGACATATTTTCGCGAGGTTATAGTTTGAATGAAGTTATAAGAAACGCCGCGGCACGGCATTGCATTGTACACGGAATATCAATTTCAAAGATCTTGTATATATTCATTTGACCGACTTTTTACATAACCTTTAATCTAATCTTCTCACCCGACTTGCTTTGACAATAGTTCAATGTTTAATTTTTTTCACAAAGACCAGTAAACATTGCTTTGTCGAATATGTTAGACAATGTCCAAATGTTTTGATGTAAAAAAACGAACCTAATTATGTGTTTGCGTAAGCGTAGGACTTCTAGCCGCCGTGGGAAGCATTGTGTCGGCAGACTGCAGTTCTTGCCATACATACGTTATGCCTGAGTTATACAATATAGGAACTGTGCTATAATATCTATTAGGTGTTACTAATTAACATATCGACACCAAAAAAACTATTCACACATTTTAATTTTCGGCGTATTATTCAAATTTTCGTAGTATTCATTTTTGCGTATTGTTTCTAATGTATTTTTTTTTAATTTTCATAGTTTTTCCTACAAGTTAAAAGCAGTTTGGGAGTCAAAGTGTTACAGTGTCAGTGATATAACAACGAGTGATAATATCCGTAACGTGTGAAGCTTTCGATTTGGGTGAGTGTTTGTTTAATTAACGTCCATTGTAATTAATTGTCGCCCAACTAAAGAGAAGGAAGTTTTCTATTGATTCCGTGTGTATTTTCACACGACTGTTGTGTAATTTATTTTAGTAGTTGGACATGTATTATTTATTTTTTGCAATTTGTCGTCTTGCTATTATTATGTACGTTTTTTATGGTAGTTAGTAGAATTTGCAATAGTGACAGTAGAGTAGAATACATCTGTCACCACCCTCACTTTAAGGTGTTTCATTTAACAGAAACTATGTAATAGCAGTTTCTCATAGACCTGCCTGGATCTTTGACATTGAGATCATTAGAGATCTCAGATCGCAAAAGGATTAGTCCTTCTGCCATAGATGGAGATTATGGCACATCCCTTTTATGTTGAGAAGGCTTAAAGTCGAGAGACATAGTCAATACTCATTACTCAATTTCGTAATTTCTTTAGACCAGCAGTAATATACTGTTGCGAACTATTCATATATTTATGTTTGAGTAGATTTTTTTTGTTTTTTTGCTGTTTGCATGCATATATGTATGTGCGTGCCTCGACAAGCAATTTAGACATTTTCTAATGAACATTGCTCTTGTAAAATTATGTTTAAACGTGTATCGTAGTGTAACATCGCGTTGAGAGGTAGGCAGAGATGTAAATAGTACGTTCATTGAATGGTGATCTTCTTTCCCACGTTACAATCTATAGCTAGTTGCTCGGTATTTTGGGTGCAATGTATATCTTTGACCTACTGCTTTTTATGTACATGTTCACAATTTTTTGAATGGAAATAGGCAAATTTGATCTGGGATTACACTTTCTATTGAAACTAAGCGATTTAGATGAATATTGAAACTGATTTTGTAAAAGCCTGAAATTTTAAATTGAACAGGATTGTCGAGTTTAGTTACGTACGACCGTACGTGTAGGATTTTAGGATTCATCACGAGTTAGATTTTTTCACATTTAATAATATGTGTAGTGTATATACTTTAGCTTAATTTTGGGAATAATTAATTTGCAGATTCTATTAAATAATTTTCACGATAAACTAAATATTATAGATAAACTCTCTCTTTGCTGTTAGTTTATTCTCCGTACCTTATTTTTCGCAGATTTTCTACTTAAACCCTAAGGTTGACTGGTAGAGAATGCCATATGACATTAAGTTCGCCTTATGTGCCATAACAAAATTTTGTACATAAAAGAATAATTTATAAATAAATAAATATACTAGACATATCTGTAGGTACATGCGCGCACGCATTGCCAATTAATCTAGGCCGGTAGGAGACACTCCTCAATTTGCAGCAACTTTTACATACACGAGCAAAACCTGGCGTTATTGATTACTTCCATATTTTAATTAAGTTGATCGATAATACTTTCAAGTTGTATCTTAGCTAGGATTAAGCACTAATGTGCAAGTACTTAGTCATTAAGTTTTTAACTTATGTGATACTTTGTAAACTTGTTTGAAGTTATTGCAAGCTATGGATATTCATTAGGATGAAGACATATTTTGGTAATATTTTTGGGGTCATAGGTTCATTTAACAAATATTTAAGTTAGCTACATAATTGCTTACTTAGAAGTAGGTAACTTAAGTTTACATATTTCCTTTATATTATAAAAGTGTGGAATTTCTTCGGGCAATGCCCTCTTGTGATTTATTTGTTTACAAAACTACATGTTAACAGTTTATTTATAAACCGTTTAAAATAACTATTTACAATGTTAATAAATACAGAAATATCCTTAATTAAATCAAGTAATTTCCTAGTGACATTATCAGTTATCCTTGACGACGCGCCGGCGGCTGCGCACGCGCATTCGAAACGCTCACCGCGCACATGTCCTTTTACTGACAACGTAGGCTAAAGCCTTTCCGAAATAAGTCGAAAAACAAGAACGTAGGTTCGAATTCTTGTTTGGGGATTGTTTACGTAACTTCCTCTTGTGTCAAGAATGTGAACATGTTTACATTTTTTGAAGGCGTATAACACGTTATTCTAGTAAAAATCACCAAAACTACCCGAATACTTGAATTTAAGTCTAGACTTGGAAAAAAGATGAAAGTTTATTTTATTTAACTCGCTATCTATCCCCTTTGTTAAGTAGTGTGTTAGTATTGATTACTTTGAGCTCAATGTGCGAGCGCGTTGATGTCTTTTGTGCGGCAGAAATGAACGACTGCCTACGCAGTGTTCCATGTTCTAGTATTGAATTTATTTACGCTTATTTAACTTAAACTTCGAAATGAATATTATAATACGTTAATACATATAATTTTCAAATAGTATCACTTCCAGGGAAAATTCGTAAAATGACTCTAAATGTTCTATCCAGCAAAAAGTAGGAGTTCTTTACATCGTAACATTTGTATCTTTACTCATCCATATCTTAAATAAAAATCTTATACACGTAATGTTTTCATTCTAAATAAGATATTAATAATGTAATGTGTAAAATACCGAAAATATAGTACCTACTGCCTCGCCTGGGACTCATAACATAAATAGTGAAAAGTGGGTGTTACATTGTACAGTGGCATTAATTGTAGTAATGTGCACCTCTGCCCACCCCTTTGGGGATAAAAAGGCGTGATGTTATGTTATATTTGTATCTAATATTCACAAGCTCGGTCATGTAACTTTATACAACATTTACATAACTATTAAAATAATCGCATAAAACGTTAATATTTCAAAGTAATGACTTGAATACATCGTTTATTGTCTTCGCGTTCATTTCGACACGTTTGGCACAAAGTTCAGGTACGGGTTTGAACCTGCGACCTTTCGTTTGCATGTCCACAACCTATAGTGCTAGATAACATATTGTCGTATTATATTATATTCATTGAGGCTTTGTGATTAGTTTTCACACTAAGAGAAGTATGTAATACTTCTCTTTTGTATATTATATTCAAAGGTTTGATTAACATTATGTATTTTGATGATTTAATGGACTTTTCACATGACAGTCTAGTTTCAACATAATGTTTCCTAGATGATGGAATGATGTGTCATATCACTCGTTGAGTACCGACATTATAGACACAATTATAGAACAATAGGTTGCGGTCACCGGTGTCCGCTTGGTGTTTGACAGTTCAAATCAGTAAGCTACATACATACAGCAGCAGGTTAAATAACCTCACATCTGTCTCCCATGGGGGTAGGCAGAGACTATGGAATGCCAATTGCTACGATTCTTAGATACTAAGCTAAAGCTAATCGAACAAATATCATTTTTGTAATTAAAGAAGAGGAGATAATAATACTCTCTGCAATAGTTATTATCATTATACCTGTAGTTGTCATTTTTCTAAGTAACGTAACGTAAGAAACTTAAGTAATTACAACAATTTCAATAATTTCATAATTCTTCAAACTGAAATTGTTTTACTTCTTGACAAAAATCAAAAGTACTCATGCACTCAATATTTAGCTTTAAAACAAACCAAAGCACGATCACACAGGCCAACATTAACCTACATAATATATACACACACAAACACACATACATCACAAAACCTCAATTTCAGCACAAAACACAATTAGTCACAAACCCATCAGCATCTAAGGGCTATAAAGCACCCTCATCTTCATCCATAAAACATTGACACGACCATCAATAACATCTCATACAAATCTCATACAATGGCTGCACATAATGATGGCTGCCATTCAACTCATACAAAGCGTACAGCCTCATGTATGACGACTGGCAATTTCCCTAAAGGTCGCTACTGTGAGCGCTAAATAAACATAATTATTGCAAAACAACATGGGATTTTATAGCACAAGTTATGAGAGAGAAGCGAGTGTTAATGATCTGAGGACCGATTTTTCCAAGTCGGATAACTTTTTCGGGAAAATAATACTGGCCTTTTTATCGTCGATTTTATTCTATGAATAAAATTTATCTATTGATTGCAAAATCGGCCCTATGGTGACTCAGCCAGCAATATTGACAATAAACCATGCCTTTACTTCTTTGAAAGAGTGGACAAAATTGAATACAACTTGTGATTCTTCTATAAAATTGAAAAGCCTAAAAATACTTACATCAATCTAGAAATCCATGTTAGAACATCGTATTTTATTAACGAAACCATCATCTGTACATCATCACTGATAAAATGCAACACTACAGCGTCCATGTGCTACCGACATCAAATAGAATAACTTCACACAGTCTCCACACTCGATGACATGACTATAAAACCGCTACCCGCCATGGCTTGTGACTTACGTCTTTTATTAAATCGCATCATCAGTGGATATCGCAACGCATCTCAGTTCCCACAGCACATTACCCCGTGGAGCTTAGAGGCTAAACACAGAATTAAGGGTACATGAAAAATGATCCAATAAAGGTACTGTTGATGAAGATTAAACTATTATTTTTTCATAATATTCATAATTATTCTTATTTTTTATGGGATAAGCTGATTAACGAACAGACGGCTCATCTAATGGTAAGCAATCGTCGTCGCCCATGGACACCTGGAACACCAGAGGCGTTACAAGTGCGTTACCGGCCTTTTGGGGATTAGGAATTCGAGGATTATTCGGGACTCAGGGATTGGATAGATTGGAGAGAGTGTTAATTGGGCCTCCGATAACCTCACTCACATAACGAAACACAACGGAAGCGTTGTTTCACATCTGTTTTCTGCTCGGTCGTGGTATCACTTCGGTCGAGCCAGCCCATTCGACCTCCAGTACTTAACTAACTCTTATTGTAAAAAATGGATTGTTGCTAATATTTTTTATTTTATGCATTTAGATTTATATTATCCATAATATAAAATAGACATTGCTGTATTATTATAGTCTGTGTCACTGTGTCTGGTAGAAATAATATTAATTTGGATATTACGGTTACATATTTATATATTTTTGCCTCGGGAAAAAAGGTAACGAAATTAAACAACTTACATAAAAGCAGTTTTAAAGAAAGAAATCCAATTGAAAGTTAAATTAAAT